CCAACACAGAGTCAAGACCAACACAGAGTCAAGACCAACAGAGTCAAGACCAACACAGAGTCAAGACCAACACAGAACAGAGTCAAGACCAACACAGAGTCAAGACTAACACAGAGCCAAGACCAACACAGAGTCAAGACCAACACAGAGTCAAGACCAACACAGGTCAAGACCAACACAGAGTCAAGACTAACACAGAGTCAAGACCAACACAGAGTCAAGACCAACACAGAGTCAAGACTAACACAGAGTCAAGACCAACACAGAGTCAGACCAACACAGAGTCAAGACAAGTCAAGACCAACACAGAGTCAAGACAAACAAACCAACACAGAGTCAAGACTAACACAGAGTCAAGACCAACACAGAGTCCAAGACCAACACAAGTCAAGAATAACACAGAGTCAAGACCAACACAGAGTCAAGACCAACACAGAGTCAAGACCAACACAGAGTCAAGACCAACACAGAGTCAAGACAACACAGAGTCAAGACTAACACAGAGTCAAGACCAACACAGAGTCAAGACCAACACAGAGTCAAGACCAACACAGATCAAGACCAACATAGAGTCAGAAACAAGAGTCAGACCAACACCGAGTCAAGACCAACATAGAGTCAAGACCAACACAGAGTCAAGACCAACACAGAGTCAAGACTAACCAGAGTCAAGACCAACACCAGAGTCAAGACCAACACCGAGTCAAGACCAACACAGAGTCAAGACCCACACAGAGTCAAGAACCTAACACAGAGTCAAGACCAACACAGAGTCAAGACCAACACCGAGTCAAGACCAACACAGAGTCAAGACCACACAGAGTCAAGACTAACACAGTCAAGACCAACACAGAGTCAAGACCACCAAGAGTCAAGACAACACAAGTCAAGACTAACACCGAGTCCAAAACCAACACCGAGTCAAGACCAACACAGAGTCCAAGACCCACACAGAGTCAAGACCAACACCAGTCAAGACCAACACAAGTCAAGACCAACAAAAGTCAAGACCAACACAGAGTCAAGACCACACAAGAGTCAAGACTAACACAGAGTCAAGACCAACACAGGTCAAGACCAACACCAGGTCAAGACCAACACAGAGTCAAGACCAACACAGAGTCAAGACTAACACAGGTCAAGACCAACACAGAGTCAAGACCACACAGAGTCAAGACCAACACAGAGTCAAGACTAACACCAGAGTCAAGACCAACACAGAGTCAAGACCAACACAGAGTCAAGACTAACACAGAGTCAAGACCAACACAGAGTCAAGACCAACACAGAGTCAAGACAACACAGAGTCAAGACTAACACAGAGTCATTCTACACTTGCTGTTTCGTTCCTGTCTCAATTATGTTCTTATCTGTAATGAACTACGAGGGTGTTGTTTTTTCACATTAACGACCTAAATATCCCTCCACTTCCCTCTACACCCTCTTCCTCCCTCTACCGTCCCTCCACCACCTCTACCGTCCCTCCACCACCCTCTACCGTCCCTCCACCTCCTCCACGTCTCTCCCCTCTACAGTCCCTCCACCACCCTCTACCGTACCTCTTCCTCCCTCACCGTCCCTCCCCACCTCTCGTCCCTCCACCACCCTCCGTCCCACCACCCACCGTCCCTCCACCCCCCCTCCCTCCCCGTCTCCCACCCTCTCCCGTCCCTCCCATCCCCACCGTCCCTCCCTCCCTCCACCACCCCCACCGTCCTCCACCACCCTCCCGTCCCTCCCACCGTCTACCTCCCCACCACCCCATTGTCCCTCTACCGTCCCTCCACCACCCTCTACCGTCCCTCCACCTCCGTCTACCGTCCCTCCACCTACCCTCACCTGCTAACAGACCTTGGTTGGGTTACCGTCCAAGTTCATCTCACTTCACAGCGGGTGTAAGAGTCAAGTTACCGTCTTCCCCGCCAATCGCTTTGTAATTCTTCCATTTCCTCATATATTGTTAAGATCGCTCACGTCTACTGAATATAAACCAACGCATTTCCTTTAATCTACTTCCACTTGTAAACTTTCCTAAAGATATTTCATATATTTTAACGTATTTATGCTAAGATGAAAATAAAATTCCGCCCAATTTTGTATTCACTTGAATTTATAATGAATTGGTAACATAGAGTGTTTAACAACTAATGAGCTTAAACGCTGATTTTTATCCTACATTTTATTTAAACTTTATGAAGCGGTTTTTTTTTTTACATATAAAACTATCCAGAAATGGGCCAACTTTTGAGTCTGATGACGTAACAACATAGCGACTTATTGTTTCCTATTGCTCCTTTTATAGCTTAAGAAGCTCTCTAAATATTGTTTATTGTTTAATACTGCGAAAAACAACACAAATAAACAAAAATAATACTTATATTCATAATTTCCAAAACAGGACAAAGCAACTGAGGGTCTGGGCTCCAACACGAGTTATTAAACAAAGTGTTATACCCAAGAGGAGGATTCTTAAAGACAGGTAAGCAATCACCCAGAAGTGACCCACAAGAGCAACTTCGTCTACCTAACAGAGAGCTGACAACGAATTAACACGGCGGCCATTGTATAGTGACAAGTTAACTCTGAAACACGACCTTGAATATCACAGATGATGATGAAAATGAAGATGATGATAGTGATGAAGATGATAGTGATGATGATGATGATGATGATGAAATAAAGTGGTCAAATGACTGACTTTGCCATGGGAGGAGAGGAATGAAAGGAAGGAAGGAATAAAAACGGGAAGTAAAGCAGTAAGGAGTAACAATAGGTGGGCTCTTACTCCTTACTCCCACCTGCTATTACTCCCTACTACTGAAATTCGCTTTAAATCCCCCCAAAAAAAAAATGAAATCTTCAGCTGCGAGGAATATGGTGAACTTAAGGTAATGGAATGGTAAGGGCAAAAATGGGTGTTTCTCATTGGAGGAGGCCCTTACATCCCTGGCTTCTGATTGGCTCCAGGTTTGTGTTGTCTTTCTGGTTGGAAGAGGAAGAGGAGGAGGAGGAGGAGGAGGAGGAGGAGGAGGAGGAGGAAGAGGAAGAGGGAGGGGCCGTCACTTATTCACCTGCTCAACAATAAGACTCGTTAAGTGTGAGTGCTGGGCAGATTGGTCCTCTTGCATCATTACTTATACTTTTTGACACAATATGACCCTCTCTTCTTCTATCCTCCTTCTCCTCTAACTCCTATTCTATCCTATTTATCTTCTCTTGTCTCCCCCTCCTTCTTTTTCTTTATCTCTTGTAATTCCTTCTATCTCCGAATGTTCTTTTCTTTCTCTTCCTCTTCCTTCCCCCCCCCCTGCTTCTCCTTCATTATTCCCTAGCATATCTTCCATACTTGGCATTTCCTCTCTCTCTCTCTCTCTCTCCATCCGTACACTTAATCTTAACTATTTTCTCTATCTTACTTTCTCTCCCAAACTGTCTCTCAATTACACCTTTATATTCTCTCTGTTTCACCCTTTCTCTTTCTTTCTTTATCTGTATAGTTAATTATCTTTCTTTCTTTCTTTCTTTCTTTCTTTCGCCCGCTTTTTATTTCATTGAATAGAACTCATCTTACTTCTGTCTATCAATCTGTCTGTCTGTCTGTTGTCTCTATCTCTCTTTGTATCTGTCTATTAATTTGTCTGCTTCTCTGTCTGTATCCCCATGTCTGTCTATCTATCTGTCTGTCTGCTGGCTACCTCTCTTTCTGTCTGCCTATCTGTCTTGAGTTCTATATCTCTTTCTATATGTCTACTGTCTTTGCCTCTATCTCCCTTCTGTCTGTCTGTCTCTTTATCTCTGCCTATCAAACATGTCTCTA